ATTTAGAAATATTTTGACCAGACATCTTAGCATATAGTTCTCTAGCATGGTTTTCAAATTTAATACCATGCTGAGTGAACTTCGATGTAAAAGATTTTGGCCAAAAATAGTGACTACTTTTTTTTTCCCAATCACTATTTGTTTTTATGTTCTGGTTGTATGTAAAAATAGAGTAACATCTGCTTCCAGTTATCCTAAACTGTCTTTCTTTTGTCCAGTATGTCTGATCAATTAAAGATTTTTCTTTTATATAATTTATATCTGTTGAAAGTTCTGAATAAATTTTTTTACAACAATCTTTCAATTCAAACGTATAATCACTTAAATTTTCTAGTAACATATGTTTTTCTGCATGAAGTGAAAAAGTTTCAGGAAAAACTTCATTATTAATATCAACAACATTCTATTGTCGCCCTTTTTGATGAAGTGACAATGCTGAATGTGGAGCAATACTTGCAAAACCCGATCTAAAAAGTAATTTATTCCTAATTACCTATATATTATAATAATTCAATAAAATTAACTTATAAGAAATGTTTGTTTTGGAAATTGTAAAAGTAAGATAACTATAAGCCTTAGGTGTCAAAATATAAAAAATATAATCCTGATTTCTTCGTCATTTATTGTGTTCAATGTAAGTTTTGGTTTCTTGACACAACAAAAGTGTTCTAATGAAACTGCTTTATAGCAAGCCAAAGATGGTTCTTTTAATTTAGCCCACTCACACTGCACATCGGTTTTTGAAAGTGTATCTATATCATTTAAGCTAGTTCTATAAAATGAAAATATTAAAGAACAAAAGTTATAGTAATCAATATTCTGACTTGAATAATTATAAATTAAAATATATGCTATTTAAAACACCTGTTTAAATTTAACAATACTGCTACAACATGTTTACAAGCCTCAGAGTCTCCTGCTTTGCAACTACATGTAAACTTAATTATTTTTAATTGATCATTTTGTCTGTGTAATTCTCCTGTCACTTCGTGAGGCATTTGATGAATATTAGAAGACTGAATAACTAACCCTTTAACTATTAAACTAGAATTCTATAAACATACAAATGTTTATGCTATATTAAATATTTGTATAATATTATCTCTATAACAGTTATTTTTTTAATAATATGGTATAACATATTTATTTGTATTTATGGGTAATTACTTTAAGTTAATGAGCCCCACATTTAAATTAATGTGAATAGTAATGTCAATTCAGAACAAATAATATGTGCTGATGCACCAGAAAAAAATGAGAATAATATATTAACTAGGTAATAAGAATAATATTTAACTAAATAATTTAATAAATAAACAATATTATATTACTTGTTCAAATTTTCCACACAAAATAAGGTGTTTACAGTTTAATACCTGTTCACCTTCTACATAATTTCGAGTAGTTGGTGAACATTGTGCGTACTCGAAAATATGAGCAAGGCTTAGTGTATTCATTATTTAATTAGTATCTTAGGAGTTACATGTTAGTATGTTACTATAAAGATATTATTATGAAAAAAAATGCAAAATTATAGAAAAATAATAATATCAATCTAGACAATATTATTATGTTGTTTTGCATAGTTTTGGGCATGATAATGTTATTGATTAATCATTAGTTCAATTAGTTTATAGGTTTAAGTATAGATTAGGTCGTTAGTATTCAAGACTCGAATCCCAACTCGAGCGGCCATTATGTAGTACGGTTTGTATCACCCAGAGCGCGTCTTGTTAATCTGTATCGCCAATGGAGGATATATGTCACAATTTCGTTTTTTTGAGCTTATTCGTATATTAACATACTGTTGTTTGGTTAGTTTATTATCCATTAACAGTGCTAAAGCTTCATCAATACTATATGGAATAGGTTTTTTATCTTCAACACAAGTATATGAATTCATAATTTTTTTTGCACGATTCGGACTTTTTACACTTTCCTTAAAAAGTTGACTAACGCACCTCTTCCCAGATGGTTGATACTTAGCTGAGGCTGCAAAGCTGAGTTCCGGAGAAGTATACGATTTTACTAAATGTTTCACTTTATTTATTTTGGTTCTTTCGGCACACTCGTTAAAATTAATTATTGGTCGACCCACACTTTTCGAACTACTTTCATTGTCTGTAGGTAATATGAATTTTTTTTTTAACCATTCACTATTTTTTTCAATAAATCTGTCATAGGTTCTTTTACTTTCTGACCATTTTTTTTCAAGCACAGTTGTAAAATTTAAAACCTTTGCGTTCATTTTTTCATTATATGTATCATCCCATACCGGCGTATTATATATATCTAATATTTTATGCAGTAAAAATTGTCTTGATTCAACGTTTGACGGTTTAAGGGGTCCCTTTTTTCGTAAAATTTCAAAAAGATCACGATAAGTTACTTTTTGCGTACTATCTCGACTACATCCAGCTACAAAAAAAAAATCACGTAATGAATTGGGGCAAATTGGGGCAAATGGAAATTATGTATTATTTAAGCCAAGTATGTCTACTATAAGTACCATGTAATGATAATTTGTCAATTTTTAGTTATCTTCTATTGTTTAAAATAAAACTAGAATCGTCAACAATTTTGAAATTTATTGTTAAAATTTAAAAGTTTTGAGTCTACATACTAGCTAATTTTAACTACTTACCTTCATTTAAATGATCCATTGTATATATTGAAAAAAATAAACTCTTGAAACTGCACAGTTGTGTTCACAATGATCGTCAAAAGCTGAGTAACACATAACGCGCGTGGTCACAAATTTCAGATTATATTTTATGCACTATTCACTCAATATCAGACGTTAATAATGTTAATGACCATTTTTATCTACAAACAGTTTACTTATCGTCTTCTATAGGTTGTCCCCAATGTATATATATATGCTCCAATTATAATTGTTGTCATCAAAAATTCGATTTCGGCAAGCTAAAATTACATTTCAGACCACTGTGCTACGGGTGCCCTATTCGAAATTCTGCCAAAAACAAACACACACGTGTTCCCCCCTTCCGTCCCAAAAATATACAATATAAAAACATCAAAACAAATTCTACAAACGTGTTCCAACCAACCGTCCTCCCCCCACACAGTACCAGACTAATGACCGTAGTAGTTGATGACTTAATAAAAAAAAAAAAAAAAATTCTATTCATTCTTAGTGTATAGTTATTATTTTATTAAAACAACTAAAACAAGTAAAAAGTAACATGCTTTAAAATGAGATATTACCACGTATTCACAGTTAGCGAGAATTAGATGGCCCTATGTAAATTTAATTTGTAGTTAGATTATTTTCCGTTAATATTTGATTTAAGCAATTATAAAAAAACAATACATATCAGACATCAGGATAAATTTTTTATTTATTGATTTAACAATAGCAATATTGTCAATTATTAGGTCTGCTTTTTTCTACATTGAGAATAGCAATATTACCAGGTATATTTTGAGATGTGGAGTTTCTTAAATTATTTTTAATGAGTTTCAGTTTAGAAAATTACGTCTCAGCTGAGGCCACAGTTACCGGAATTGTAATAAATATTAAATTTTATAACCTAAAGAAAACGATAAAATAATCATTTTGTGAAAATGTCAATTACCTACCCATGGCTTTAAGTTTTCGAATCACAACAAATTTAGAAAATTTGGTTTTATGAGAAATCGTTAATATTTATGGTTTATTTCTTATGCAGAAAAAATTCAAACACTCATTAAAAATTAATTTGACCTTACAATAGAATTTTTTTTTTTTGATAAATTTATTCAAACTTACAAATCTTGTATTATATTTTTAAATCTTTGATAATTAAAAGACATTTTTATGGATTATAAAATTATTTACTTCTTTATTGTCTTTTTTTTTATTTGTGTTCTCTTGGACATTTTGCTTATATTTAATTGTCTTATCTTGGGACATTTCACTGTCCCCGGCCGGAACTCTTGTTTCGCTACCAATAATATATATATATATTGGGACCTCTAATGTTAAATGTGATAGCTATTTTCCCTTTCTTGAATATTAGCTACTATCAGAAACTCGGGGGCTTGTCACACTCAGTGATAGGGACGACAATGTTATTAAAATGACTTATAGAAGTCACTCTTGTTGACGACATGGGTGGTTAAAAAATAAAAATGTATGAGGTGTTAAAGATTTTTGATAAGACTTGAAGATCTCGTTTCGAGCGCATGAATGTTGGACAAACTGGGAAAAATCTGGGCGGCCATGCTACAGTAGAGGTCTACCGTGATAAAGACAACAGCAATCATTCGCCGCCCGTATTCGCTCTCAACTACCCTACATATTTTTCCTAAAGCCTAAAACCTATGGGACACCTACTTAGATGGTTTGATGTGGGAAAATTTGAGCATTTAAGCCGTTTTTATTCAGAAACAAATTGCGATATTATTGATAGTGGTTGCACCAATAAATATAAGGGTGAAAAAAATTTTAATATAATATAGTTATAGAAAAACATAAACCTAAAAGTTTAAAAAAAAAATTCAATAAAAGTTAATTATTTTTGAAATAATTAGTGCAATCTCTTAAATGAATCAACTTGTATTATATCTTATCTAAAAATATTTTGTATTTTTGTTGTTAATTTAGGTTCTTATATTTATTTCATTGAAGTATGGGCCCAACTAAGAACATGAAACGTGGGGCCCTGGTGCAATGAACCACCCGCTCTGTGGTTTCTGCGGCACTGAATATACTCTATCTCAAAATAGAACATTCACTTTTTGTATCGTGGAATGATTGGCACGCCGAGAACTGCGTGATCATACTAACACAGGGCGGTTGGTGAGAAATCAGCTGGTCGACTGATCATTCTCGTTTAAAAAAGAGTAATAAAAAACATGGTAAAAGGTCTATGAATAAAATCAACGCATTTTACATTTCTATCCTATACTATTATTCCAATACACCAATTGAACTATAATATGAAATCATTTTTTTTATTTTTCCCATATGCGTATTCTGATCTTAGTCATGCAAATTCATAACAATGTGTTTGCTTCATTGTTTACCTATGTTGCATAATTGTATCTAGTATATAGTAACATTTTATATATTGTCGTGGCGCCTGGTGCTTACCTGGATCGTGAAGCACTACTTTTTGCTGTTCAACTTTGGTGACGAGTGATCCATTTTTACCAGTATAATCAACCGTGTCGACCCGCAATATTACTTTTACTGTGTAATCTTTATGGCCTTTGTTCGTGATCCTCACCGCGACCCTAAAAGTATTTAAAAAAAACATTTGATGATTTACGTAAGCTTAATTGGTGTTCTCTTATCATATAGGTATGGACTATACACTTCCTATGTATCATATTATATCATTATTATTATACAAAAGATAAGGCCGGCAAGGGTCTGTGAGTACATTCAGTCTGATGTCCGGGCCCCGTTATATTAAATCTAGTCGAAATATCAGTGTCGTGACTTGGTAGACGGTGGGGCGGAGCAGTTCAAGGTTTAGTCGTCGCTACCCGAGCCAGTTGAGGAGAGCAAACCAAAGTGCTCTCTGTGAGGTGACATTATTTTATAATAAATGGTACACATTTTATTACTATAGGTATGTACTACATTTTACTTTTTTTTGTAAGTACTAAACTATATTCAAGTTGAGAAACGTAGTAGGTGCCGACCAGTTTTTGTCGGTCGGCTGTCAGGCAACATCCGTTAGTCTGCCCACTCCGTCAATTATCTATAAAGCTGTCGTGTAGTATTACTAGTATTGCCATATCTTCTTCTTATTTCTTATTATTTAATATCAATAACTTACTTACAGTAGCCTGAACATTTTTTAAAATTATGATAATGTTACTTTTTTGTTTTTCCAAAACACTAATTTGTTATTAGAACATTTAGAAGAAGAATTTTTCAGATGTTCTTACTTTTTTATTTGATTTTTATTTACATTTAAAATTCATAAAGGTACAAACTAATGTTAAAGTAAAATACAAAAAATTAAAATAACTCAATTCAAACCTGAAGTTTTCTCCGACGATAATATCATCGACTAACTCAAAATCAAATTTGATTTCATTGAAATCCTCATTCAAATAATAACGGCTAAATATGCTATTATTTTGCTTTAACGCTTTATGCATAGTAATTCTTTCTTCAGTTGACTCTAGAAAAAAAAACCGTTAAAAGGACACATAATTATCAACATTTTACAGGAAAATCATTGTGATGTGCAAATTCATCAGTAAAGTTTTCCAATGAAAATCTACCAACAACTTATTTTAAACAAACATATTCACACTTCATTCATTTTCTCTATTTGAATATGAAATATAATTGAAACAAATAAAAAACAATTATCATTCATGAAAGTTTTACAAATCCGGACGATAGTCGCAGTGTAATCTGACTGCGTTATAGTAAACCTTTTCATTCACTCGCAAGTGCAAGTAACTGTCCACATGCATCATTAGTCGACCACACCTATACGAAAGTTTAAATTATTTCGAAATCTGGTATGATTATTATTATGTTTTTCGATCTCTCAGAATCGTTTCTCATAAAAGTAAAATAACAAAAAATGATTTTCAAAATACCTAATCAACACAGCTTATCTTTTCATTCTATTTCAAATATGGAATATCTATGACTCCCGTTTCCACGAATAGAATGAGGGTGGTTACTACGTAAGAATTTCATATCTGATCTTATATGCGTACAAATATACAGGCTGAAGGTTAACAAAATTGTAGTTTTAACCACCATTTAAAATATACTTAAACCGTGGTACTAAGATACAATGTATTACATATTTTAAATTTTGTATCAATATTTTAACTGCTTGGGGATGTTTTAATTCTATTATTTTGATAAAATAATAATATTGTATATTAACAATAACCAATTAACTTATAACCTGTAATATTTATTTTGTATTTAAAAATATATCTACAATAGTTTAAGATTAAGTTTAATTCATTCAGCTATTAGTTAAGTTACGAATTCAAATATTTTCAAGAAAGTTTATCCTGTTACGGTTTTTATACGGATATTGTGTGGAAGAATAAATTGACGGACCACACTGAACTTCGTGGTGAATTATTTAAACTATAATTTTGTTATAAGAATTTTGCATGAATTTATAAAACGTTCATATAACTATAGGACCGTAGATAAAATATTAAGTATATGTATAGGACTATAGGAATTAGGCTCCAGGATAAGACAAATCATTAAGGTGGCACTGTAGCCTCCCAATTTCCCCTTTTAAAGAAAGTCATTGGAGAAAAGATACTAGTATAATTTCTAGTCCTTATAGTTCATCAATAAAAGTACACACGAAAATACCATAGATATTTCTGTTTAAACCATCTGTTAATAATTATAAATTGAGTATTTTAGAAAATATATAAAATAGTCTGTTAATAATACCAACATTTTGAATAAACATAATTGTAGTACTCAAAGAGATCAATATTTGTATGTATTGATAAAGTATGTAGCCCAAATATATCAGGTTCTATGATACTTTAAAGTTCATAAGTGTTTCAATTGTACGGTACATACGTCGCATCCACTTAGTGAAATCAATCATTAGTTTTATGTCAAAACTGTGTACCGTTTACTTAAATGTCTATTCCTCTAGTCCTATAGAGGGTACTCGTTCTTTACTGGTTACGTAACGAAACGATAAAAAATGGGTCCTTAATATTCTCCACCAAATATCCAAGATTATAGAGCATTTCAGCGGATTTATATAATACTAACCAAATGCCAAAATAATAAAGATATTATAAAGTATTTTTTAATGTAAAGTATAATATGAATAAAATAACATTAAGTATTTTTGTAAAATTAAAACTGTCAAGTGTTATAAGCAAACTAATAGATGACGATGAATAATCTCATATAAAATTAGAGGATAACGGAAGAACATTTGTGGGTCATAAACATCCTGTGGAATGTAATACACAGTACTGTAACCATACTATCTAAAGCCGCGGTAAACAGTCAGAAAATCATTTGCTTTCGTCCCTTTCATGAAAACACACTTATGGTTTTATCAAGTATGACTTTTTGTTAGCAATAAAGAGTTTTTGATTTTACTTAACGTTTTGTAATGTTTTCATTAAATTGTTTTTGAAGTTCCAACATTTGTCCCTTGTGCTCGCAGTTATTTTGATAATGTCAAAAAATACAATAACGAATACACTCTAGATGACGCGAGAACCATGATGATTGACAAATTATCACAAATTTTAGATGAACATGCCAACGTCATCAACCGAAGAACTATGAATAACTATCCAAATATCAAGGAATTATATTTTTGGGACAAAAAACATGATCATCGAGATTATAGTAGAAAAATGTTTGGAGGAAAAAATGAGTCAGTGCTGAATAGTGGTAATTTTAAAGAAATATATAGTATTGTATAATGTATATAGTATTGTTGATTCTGGTGACCGTGTGCTTGAAAATCATTTAAAAACATTTCATTCCAGTGCAACGTAATGTCATTTAAGTTTAACTTAAATTAAATTAAGCAAAATATTACAGTGTTGTATTTGATGAGACGACAGATGTATCTAATACTTCACAAATCACTAAAATTTTAAATATCCGTTATATTTTCAAAGGCCAGATCTAGAAAAGTTTATAGGTTTTGTGCATTACCATAAATATATTATTAGATTTTTACTATATATATTTGACAAAGATTAAGGATATTTGTCAGATATTAACGAGGTAAATGAAAGTGTTGGTAATGAAAAGCACTCTGAACCAAAAATTACAGAAAACTTAGGAGAAATCGTTAAAAGATTTTGGATTCTATTTAGATACATTAGTTGGTACTGGCACTGATGAATGTTCACTAATGATATCAACAGCTCGAAGTGCTGTGCAACAAATCCAAAAATATGCAGAAAATACCATTCACTGTAAATGCTCAAATCATGCTTTAAAATTGAGTCGTTTAAAGTCATCCACGGTGCAATACGGATGTCCTTAACAGCATAGGAATTATAGAAGAAATAATTTAATTTTTGCATGTCCCTGCTAAACGTAATTTTGAACATACAAATAATTTGTCACTTTGAACAACTTTTTCTGGGTTGTGTGAAATTCGCTGAATTGAAAAACACGACAGTATTCTACAGTTCAAAAATTCCTTATTAGAGATGGAAGATGCTTAATTGAAATTTTACGATGGGAAGACAATATTTTTTCAACAAAATACAACATACTAGAGTATTTTCTATTGGTAACTGATTTTGTTTTGTCAATATTTGTATTATCTAGTTTCATCTAGTGTATCACTAATTCAGTATAACATTTCTTATCAGTAATTCACTACAAGGACAAGATGAAGACATTTTCACAGTGTTAAAATATATATCAAGGGCATAATTTCTACTTTTAAAAATTATATAAGTAACTGCAATGAAGAGTTTAGAAGAACTCAATTCAATAATTAGATTAAGTGAACTTATATAAAAAAACTTAACGTTGAAGTAAACTGCCCAGACTTTTTGGATGTCAGAAATATAGGAATCACAGAACAAATGTAGGTAACCCCAGAAGATGACTACAGTATTAATTTGGAAGTATTTTAGAAGACTTATACCTATTCGAATATTATATATTTTATTATTATACTCTTATATTCCGTTTTATTTGTAAATAAAATAAAAATCTCTTAGCATTAATGCAATTGTAACCAAGTAATACATTTACATCGGGAACCTACCATCTGCGATGCTTGCAGCACACAGATCACAGTCAAACACATAACAAAATGGCATTTTTACGAACAGGAACCAACCAATCTCAATTTGATTGAAACTCTTGATGAAATGCTTGGACCAAAACAGGAAAATTCTCAAATTTTTAAAACTAACCAACCTTATAGACAAAATATAATTGTAATTGTTAAATTTCACTATCTATCTGGACACCCAGTTTATGAAAAGATTGATTTCACTAAGTGATGCGAATGATGCAACAAATGCATAAGTCAATCTGTAGTATGATTATAAAATGTTATGTTTTTTTGAACGTTAACTTTTTATGCAATTATGCTATCAGTTTTATCATTCTGTATTTTGGTTTAGTAGTCATATATTAATTAATAAATAAAATATTTTAATATTTAATGTTACATCATTACAAAATATAGTGCAAGCATAAGTGTTACGTACTTTCAGGATATTTGTAGTTGTCCGTAATGTTTTCCTGTTCCCATTTTCCTGCCGCTTTCGTACAGATTAGTTTGCCGATTCTGATATAGATAAATAAAAATAAAAATTTACATGAATACAAATTAATGATCTATGCTTCTGCGAAAGGCTGGGTGCAAATACAGGTGTACCTAGTTAAAGCCCTCTAAAGAAAAAAAGGCAACCATGGTTTTATTCTCTCAATATAACTCTTAGTTTTTTACAAAAAAATTAGTTGTATACTTACACAAAGTTGTATTGTAGTTTAATAGATATATTTATTTTAATTACCAAAAGTACCAAATATAAGTGCTTAATAATTATTTAATATATACCATACAATTATAAACTATATTACTATATTATACATACATTTCTTATGGGTTATAGAATGTAGGATTGTAGGTACTTATATTATATTTTCTATTTAATTAATATGAAAATGAACATAGTAGCACAGAGCAATTTGGAATAAGGAAGGATGTTGGTGAACTTCCCGCGCCGAATCCTTGTTGGGATATTTTTAATTATACATTTTTTTATTACGAATAGTGAAGTGAGTATACTTTTTGTTAAATATATTCGGAATTCCCATTTAAACATGAGCGTGTGCCGCTGAAGGTCGTACTTTTATATGCGTAAGTGAAATAACTAATAATAAGAAGAATTTAAGAGGTAACATACTTGTTAAAAATTAGGCTCTATTACTTTTCACTATACCTAGATCCATTTTTACTATCTACAGAAAATATGTTCACAAAATATAAATTAAGAGACAATATTGACTACCCCTTCACTAGTATAGTATTTAAAGAGATTTTTAGATTATAATAGATAGCTAAAATATCTAGGAGCTATATCAAATGTCTCTAAAAAAAACCCGTTGCCTTAAGTTTATACCTTTTATATCACCACTAAATTCAACTGTTGTGCTCGAACAGAATAGACAAGACTTACGCTTCCGTATCCTTCCTCAATAGTTTCATCGGTTGAGATATACCATAGTATCTCCAGTACACCTTATCTGCGTTCACCTCGGAGTACACGAACGCAGTGTCATACGGTGCTCTTATGTCACCATTTTTGACGGCCGTAACGCTTGCTGGGCCGCATTTGAACTGGCCTTCGCTCAGCTCCTGAGGTGTTGCATCGATCACTTGCCAGCTCCGGTCTAAAATATTCAAATCGGGCCTGGCCATCCAAACCTCGTTCCACACGTGATAATTCCTGCGATTAACCGCCGTACATGACACGGTGGTTACATTATAGTTAGTTCTAGGTACGTAAGACGTGTATAATAAACCTATCTTTTAATTCTTGTAATATTATTTACACAATTAGTACTAACCAAATAGAGTCAGTTTGTAGTTCTTCTATTATTTTTCCGTCATCATCGACTAAGTAGTCGATCGTCAAACTGTTTTGTGTATCATGAGCTGCGCAATATGCAGTCACCGGACGGCAAGGTATTCCGATAGCTCTGCACACTATAAATGTACACAAGAATTATTATATGATGTGTAATTTGTAGGTTAAAGATACACAAATAGCAATTTATTTTCAAACTTGTCTATGTACATAGTTAACATCAAATATACCTATACCCCTCAACAAAACTCATTAGTTGAAAACCATTACACCAAATATAAGTACACTAAGAAATGAGTAAACGTATTATTGAAATTGAAACGTTTGTTGCTTAATAGTTTATATTAAAAGAGTATAAACCAGTAATAAGCAACTGTTTTAGTGTTTGGCTCGCACAAAATAATGTGTGCGGTGATGCGATGAGATAATTAATTGAAGTCAGTAGCGTACAAATTAAGTGGAGTTCGCGATAAATCCCCCCAAAGACCAAATAAAACATTTTTTTTTGAACTGGTTAGAATGAAAAATATGGCCGTTGTTAAGTGCCTATAAAATAAAGTATTTATCAAATATATTGGAATCACAAAAACTCTATTTTTTCGTCCTAGGAGGTATACAAATAGACATTTGTTATTTACAAACAAACTATTTCTGTGTAGATATTAAATATTATTTACCATTATTAATAAATTGTCTTAGTGTTGAGGCCTGTGAAATGTGGATGCGTTAATGTGTGTGACTATTATTGTACCGGCATATCGGTGTAATAAAAATATTATTTTAATTTATAGTTGATTTCTTCTTTCCTATCTCTTGTTCATTATATTATATTAATTTCTATTTAAAACCTCTTCGTGCATGTAGGTATCATATGATACCGCAACTAATTTAAACCGCTTATAAAGCAGCTGTTAAATATTTTTGATCCATTTGTGTATAAAGATATCATATGATACACTTGATAACAGCCGTCTCATAATATTCGTTCCTATGTTCATAGTTTCATACTATATGAGAATTTTTAGTCACATGTGTGATAACCTCCTGTATTGATAATACGCAAAATATACCGACAAAACTGTTGTTATATCTCATCGTTAAAATATTTTAGCTACATCAAAAAATATTTTTTAGGTTTGTTTTTGTATAAGATACACGTAAAAGTACATGTAAGAGTCAATTTTGATCGTTGACATCTATTATTGTGAGGTAATATACTCGGTATCATTTGATACAACTGTGCTTAATTGGTACCTACAACTATACTAACAAAAAATATTACCTAGGTAATATAACATTTGTTTTTATTTTAGTAATAATAAATGGAGAAGTTGAAAGACGATGAAATTGAGTTGTTCTTGGACTTTGAAATACCAAGTGACTCAGAAGTCAGCTTTTGTGATAGTGAAGACGATGATAGTGATGCTGAGAATAATAAAAACAAAAATGATGACCAGGAAGATAATATTGAAAAATTAAATTTATTGCCTTCTTTATTTATTAACTTCTTAGGGGATATGGACAATAATATAAGGTTTGAAAATAATAATCCTTCTAATGAGCCTGATGGCTTTGTAATAATCGACGAAAATGATGTACATGATTTTGATAGTTTTTTTAATAACATAATACTCCAAACACAAACAGATAGTAATGTTAGCAAACAAACTATACCAAAATCTGATGTTGCTACTCAAAACAATTTAGTCTCACCCACACAAACATCTAACCAAATTCTAAATCCTATAGCCACTCAGTCACTAACAAATAAAAAAAGAAAAACTCCATCAACCGATTCTAAAAGTAAAACTAAGTTTAAAAAATCTACTTTACTAAAAATTAACAATAATAAACATAATTGTTTACCTGTCAAGAAAAAAAATACAAAACAGACAAAATGGTTTCCTGGTAGGGATAATAATCATACAAACTCCATACCTACTTTTACTGGCAATAAATTAATTAATATAAATGTAAAAGAAACTACTCCTTATTCTGTTTTTATACAATTATTCACTGAATCTCTTTTTGAAAAAATAAGAACTGAAACAATAAAATATGCTGTTCAAAATGGAAAAGAAAATTTCAACTTATCTATAAAAGAATTGAAAGTGTTTTTTGCAATCAACATAGCAATGACATATATAAAATACCCAAATGTAAGAATGTATTGGTCTTCTCAAGAGGGGTTGAGAATGAACCTTATTGCTGATGCTATGACTTGTAACCGGTTTGCCGAAATTAAAAGGTTTATTCATTTTGTAGACAATTATGAAAAACCTCAAGTAGTAACTGATAAATTTTGGAAAATTAGACCTGTTTTAGACATTTTACACAATTCTTTTCATTCAGCTATATCAACTAGTCAAAATATAGCCATTGATGAAATGATGGTTCCTTTTAAGGGTAGGAGTTCATTAAAACAATACTTAAAATCAAAGCCTAAAAAATGGGGATTTAAAATTTGGGTTCAAGCCGGAACCAATGGATATGTACATTGTTTTGAGCTATATCAAGGTGCCTCGAAAGACAAAAAATCACTTTTTGGTCCAATAGGTGATACAGTTTTGAAATTGTGTCATTCAATACATGGTGAAAACCATAAACTTTTTATGGATAACTTGTTTACTACTGTTCCACTATTAAGAAAATTAAAGTCTCTAAACATACATGTCCTTGGTACTCTAAGATTGAATAGAGTAACTGGAATTGAAAATTACCTAGTCAAAGATAAATTGTTAGAAAGAGGTAACTGTTCAATAGCCACATCTGATGACAATCTGACTGTTGTACGATGGAAAGATACTAAACTAGTACATACTATATCGACATATGCTGGGGCTAGTCCTGAAGATATAACTTCACGTTATGATAGGAAGGAAAAGAAAAAAATTGAAGTCACTCGTCCATTTACTATACAGGAGTACAATAAATTCATGGGGGGTGTGGACCTCATGGATAGAATGATTGCTCATTACCCTCATGGATTCAAGAACAAAAAATGGTACTTGAGGATTTTTTTTCATTTTTTGAATATTAGTATAATTAACTCATGGATAATATACAAAGAAAATTGTCAAAATATACCACTTCTTCAGTTTAATGCATCAATTGTTTGGACCATGCTCCAAATAGGAAAATGTGATACACCAAAAAGAGGCAGGCCTTCCTTACAATCTGATCCACCAAAAAAAAAAAAAATGTTTCCATTGTTGTTTCAGAAATAAGATATGATTGTAAGGAACATTATCCTGGTAAAACGACAAAAGCTCAAGCTTCTAAGTGTCATAATTTATATTGCAAATCAAGAACTAGATATATTTGTAAAAAATGTGATACTCCAGTTTGTCCAGAGTGCATGGAAGACTTCCATAGAAAATAAAGAATGACCTATAATATTTTTTTTTTTACTTTGTTTTGATATTTGTTGGGTAACATTTAGTATTGTTTTTATGTTTATTTTGTGCAATTTAGTTATTGTTTACTATTTTTCTTATTATATTATCTTCATAAGAAATATTACAAGTTATTATTTTAATTTTATACAGAGTATGAAAGAAGTTTTTCATTTATTTTTATTTTGTTAGTAACATATTTTTTATTTTATGCATATATTAATTGTATTACTATTATTCTTAATCTATTTATAATCACAAGCTGTGAAAGATTTAATTTTTATTTTATACAGGGTATGTTCAAAAGCTGTGAAAATATTGTTTTTATTTCATACAAATTGTTATTATTTTATGTTTGGATTACATTAAATATACAAACATCTTTATAGTTATTCAAGTTGTAGATATCCTAGATATTCCAGGGGGCATGTCCCCCTCCTACCCAATATATTTAACTTAAGTATATAGTTAATGTGTATTTAATAATTTTAATTTGTCAAAATTTAAAATGTATTAATTATAAAAATGCATTTAAAAAAAAAGTTGTTCCAAATATGCACAGAGGTATCATATGATAACGGGGTTGTAATCTATCTTCACGACATAAGGGTTGGTCCTAGATTTTTTTAACTATTTTTCTCATTATTTATGGCCCAAATTCTATATAGGAGATTTTTTTTTTGAAAATCTAAAAAGTCGTGCATGAAGAGGATAATATACAAGATTGTTCAGTAAGAGTGACATTATATCGTACCAATTAGCAATACTGCAATAGTAATTTAGAACATAAGTCATTTTCATGAGTGCACTTGGTTTACACTACCCGGATGACCCAAAATTCATTAATTTTCAAAAAGATCTGCTGGATACATCATTACTAAGCTTCGGAACTCAGCCCTTAAAAAATACATTTTACCACAATAATAACCTTATAAATGCCATACATTTTTTTTTCTTAAATGTTGCAAAATAATTTATTCTTCAATTTATTGAATGGAATATTCGCAGATAGCATATCCGAACAAAGTTCTTTGTTATACTAATAATTATCATTGTCAAATATGTCATTTAAAAGTTGTTATGGTTATTTTTCTTTTTTTCATTTCATGTTAATTCATTAATATTTTGTTTTTCTCTTGATTATGTTGCTGAACATTTTTTTTTTTTGAGTAACTTAAGTATTACAAATTGTACAAAGTAAAATAGTCCCATTTGTTGTAAAGACTACTCTTCCGAATTCGCTTACGCAGTAAGAAGTAAATGATTTTTTTGGGGGTATTATTTAATACAATATTTAACACTATTGAATGTACGAAATAAAATAAAAATCTAAGTAATATGACCACGATTTAACTCAAACTGACTAATTGTTTGTTATATGTCCGAGTACGGGTGAAGCTCCACAGTCAATAATTAAGATAAGAAAAAAATTGAATCAAACAATAAAGATTGACAATGTGTAGGGAGAAACCCAATAAACTTATTAAACTAAAAGTTAAAACAACTTAAATATCAAGAAAACCATTTATCTTTACATAATATTTTGAATACGCTAAATTTTTATAATACGTTGAACATAAAATGCATTAAAACATTTTAAACAAACATATGCTATAAAAATGAAAAAACGTCAACATTTGCAAAAAAAAAAAATGCAAAATGAAATTGTTATGTTTGAAACACTGGTTGTGTGAAACGAATTGTGTACTTGGAAAGCCTTGTTAAGATCAACCAACAAAATATGCTCTAAGTATTGAAATCCAGACCTTAATCATTACCATTTACCTCATCTATACTCCGTTAAATATTTTTAAATCCCCCTCTATAATACAATTAATTGTACGTCGCTGATTGAAGTAGGGACTTATCTTACCATAAAATACTTATGAATAATAATAATTTGTAATAACCTGTGGTAAGTACTCCTGCGTAGACCCAGCACTGCCCGTATTTAACAGGTTTTTTCGTTTTTATGAATTGATTTATAATATCTACGCTTCCCAGCCAGTTAATGGGTGCAGTGCCTCCGGAAAAATCTTCAGTCCAATTGCCTTGAACGACTCCCAACTCATCAGGAGCGTTGACCTATGAACAAAAAACCATGAACATGTACACAACGGTAGTGACTTACCAAAGTATAATATGGTTCTTAAAGTTTTTACTTTACAAGCTTCGGAATCATTTTCAAAAATAATTAATATTACTCACTGCGGCTGATAGGCTTCTTGATACTTTTATTGGTTCACTGCAGTGTATAAGTGCTAATCGCCTGATTTTTAGCAATAACAAAAAACTGCTTTCCAACATGTTCTTTTGTAACTGACCGTATTTCCACATGACCTCTTTCTGCCTGCTGTGACTTCCACGCCACATGAGTCCTTCCTCGCTCAACACGTACTCCTCACGCAGCTCATCGTCCTTTATATAAACTTCATCCGCTGCACAAAAATATGTATTATTCGTTTATAACACGTAATAATTGAATTAAATGCCCACCCAAAATACATATATATTATAAAAAAATTACACACACATTAAAATGTGATCTAAAAGTCTAAAATACGACTTATAATTTATAAGATGTATGGTCGAGATAATCTCTGGAACTAACTGTCGGATTTTAAAAATCCTCTTTGCATTTATTGAAGAAGGCTTTACTGATGGTATAGCGTCTAGTCCGTGTCATTATTTTGTTAAAATTACAAGGATTTTGAGATCCACGGTGGAAATCAAAATTTGTACATTAGTTATGGATTATAATAATAATAGTAAAAAGTAGTTGAAATTGGTATTTTTTCTTTTATATCAATGGTTACCATTGGTCACTCTGGTAGATGAGATAAAAACATTCATAAAATCTTCGCATTTACATGTCCTCAATTAAGTAATGTTATTGATTGTTAAAAGTGCCAAAACCACTCCGAGAATTGCGTTTGTTCATCTATAGATCATATTATTTCACAAAGCAAAATACACTGACGCCGATCTGCCTGTGAACTACAGTACTCTAAGACAGTCTGACATACACCATATAGAGCTGTATTTTATAGTTGTTCATTCAGGGCGAAGAATATTTTATTCATTAATTAAATGGTCGCCATTGGATACTCGGCTATTTGTGGTAAACACACGCTTCAAATGAATATTTAATGAGCATAGTTGTCATACATTGTCTACCTAGTCGGATCCGAAATTCACCCCAGATAAATTGCATAGGTACCTGATATACTGTTTGCATCACAGTTATCTGACCTGCTGGACACTAAAACATGGTTTTCGACTTAGCACTTTTTGGATATAAAAAAGCATGGAATATGTGACATAAAGCACTCAATTCGCTGTAAGAATATGGGATATACATTTTTTAGCAAACATATTTTTAATAATAAACACGGGCAAGTGGAACATTTATATGTTGTTATATTTGCTAATTTGAGTTTCAATAAATGTAATTGCATTTTTTGATTGATTTCTATAATTTTGTAAAATTATATCAATAAGGTACATTAATTTCAATACGTTCGGGACGCAAATAACCTGTCAATATACTATACGACTGGTAAGATGCATTCGACCATTTAGAACTCAACTTACTTGCAGTAATACCACAGATTAAATGAAACCAGATAGTGCACTTCGGAATAATAAAATTATAACAATAGACTTCCAAACAACAGGATCTGATTGGTTACTGCGCGATGCAGTAGGTCCAAATAGGAGTAACAAAAATATTGTAATACAATAATTTACGAAAAATATTGTTCACAGATAAAAAGACACTATTTTATTCCAATTAATTAATTTGTTTATTTATTAAAATTACACAACATATAAACATTTACAAGTAGATGAAAAAAAACTACAGTTAAATTATACTAAAAACAAAATTCTAACATAATCCTAAATCGTATGAATAAATTTAAAAGATAGTCTTTATTAAAATGTTCACACGGGTGAGAATAGTAAATTGATACCATACTAAGTTTCAATTTTTCACCTACTTTATTCTCAGCTGCTAATACAGGGAAACGATTAATAAACACTGTTTCTAAACTATTTATATAATTATAAAATTCTGAATGTGGCATTGATAGGTTTCCAAAAGTGGATTTTTCAGAATTTTCATAAGCTTTAAAATAAGAAAATAAAAAGGATGGTACTAAATTTTTTTGAAATTTGGCATAATTTAAGCAAATATTGCAAATATGAGTTTCAAAACATTTTTTAATCATATAGCCACAAATATAAGTTGGTATATTTTGATCAGGCAATTCTAAATCCCGATAATCAACAGATGTTACCGGTATTGAAGATTTAAATTTAAATTTAGTTTTATCTGGAAACATAATATTTTGAACCTCAGAATTGGTAGGGTCTTGAATATTATATAGAATGTCATCAAAATCTTGCAGGCAATTAGCATTGTTGGAATGTTTAAAATAATTCATGAAAAATATATTTTTAAATGAATAATAGAATTGTATTGGAGTTGGATTGAAATTATTTCCTTGTCTCTGCCTAAACGTGCAAAACAAGTTCTCAAGACAATCTTGATTGATCCTGTTCGTAAATAAAACATAATTTTGCCTAGTATTTACAGAAGATAAGGATTGCCACAATAAATTTAAGCTAGCAATAGAAACTAACCATCCTCTTAT